CTCACAAGTGTTCGAATTTTTTTCGAGCATACAGGGGATCAATTTCTGTTCTGTGTGGAAACGTGAAGTGAAAACATTTTCATCACACATCAAAATTTTTTCACTGTGAAAACTTTTTTCCACAAAGTTTTGTGGCTGTGAAAAAGAAGAGTTGGGCGTTTTTCTCAAAACCATCACCTTGTGATAAATAATATCATTGCCATAATTTAGCAAACAATTACTTGCTAGATGTTAATGGAATAGCTATCGAAACGATAAAATGAAAAAATTAAATTTTAACTGACATTGCATTTTTCATTTTCACTTAACAGTTTCATAGAACCATTGGCCCCCAAATTTATAGCCCATTAAATTTTAGTGTAATAAAGTGTGAAGTGGCTTAAAATTACCGTTGGGTTTTTAGATTTTTTTTTTGAGCCAGTTGTTGCGGCTTTCTTCCATATAAAAATAAATTTTGTTTATTCTAAAACATCAACGGATTATTATGCTAAAACGGATTATTATATACAACTGTAACAGTTCTACGAAAAAAGTTTGATATTTGGATGAAAATTTGTTGGATTTATTTTAGTTTCCCACAATGTTTAAAACGAATAAACATAAGTGGCAAACAATATCACTTTAAAACGGCATGCTATTGATATGGCTGATACCTACATACCTATGTAGGTACTGGGTAAAAAATGTAAACTAAACTTTTTCAAAGAATTTTCCACATGAATGCAATACAGCTGCGTGAATGCCCCTATTTCTTTAATGTGTTCCGTCTTAATTGTGTGTAACACACCTTTTCGTACTTATTTATGTCCTTATTAAAACAAACAAAATGTATTGCTATTCACTCTGCTGCATAAAATTGATGCTCCTTCGTCTGCGCGAATACCCACTGCTGCTGCTGCTGTTGTGGCATCTCCACAGACGATGAAATGGTAGGACTCATTGAAGCTGCAGAGAAGAAAGCGCCCGAGGAGCTGACGGAGGAGGATAAGATGGCGTTATTGGGTCGTCCCAAATTGGGTGAGGTGGTGCGTGCTGAGTTGCGCATCAAGGAGAGTAAGGAATTTAAGGTGAACAAAATTAATTGAGCTCAACAAAAAACATCCGCTGTATCGTTTTAATTAAATTTTTTCCTCTTTTGCAGAACACTGTGGATAAATTGGTGCAAAGGGCGAATGCCTCACTTCTGATTGGTACTTCGTCATGGAAGGAACAATTTGCGGATGCGTTAACAGTGACTCCAGGTAAGACGTGTTTATTATAAAAGTAAATGACAGAAAATTTAGGCCAGGGAATTAGAAATGTTTATTTTTGTTATGCAAGCATGTTAATTTCAATTAAGTTGTGTACTAAAAATATCATCCTGATGGAGAAAGACATATGCACTTAGAATCTAAGTCTTAGATAAGTAATGCAGAGTCTGTTCCGAACAGCAAAATAGTCACTACTTATTATGATTTTTTTTAGCATTTAAAACATTAATAAAATCATAAAATTCTCATCTCTTCGGTCAATTCTATTAAAATCGGATCACGGTTACTACTTTTTGCGCCAGCATTGTGAAGCGTCCATTCTGTGGAAGATTAATACAAGACTAGCAGGTTCTAGCACCTGGAACTTTATTTCAAACAGTTTACCTAGGTTTTAGTGAACGTTGTAACCCCAATAGCTTCGTGGCACACGTAGGCGCAAAGTAGTTCCACTCTTTTGACCATGGAAAAAGGCGATATTTTAGAAACTAGTGAGAAACTATTGTTGACCCTAAAAAACATAACAAATAAAATTTAAAACTGATCTTAAATTTTTTTTTACAAAAACCACATCCATATCAATTCAGCAGAACAGGATAAAAAATTTATAAGGTATCTCCCTCTTGCTTACAAATTGGGTAGTTAGGTTGTTTATTGCACGGCTCTTTCCATAGTTATAAAACAAATTAAAATCAGTATTTTCGAAACAAACGCTCTTGAAGAATTTTACTTGATTATACCCCTCATCAAAAATATAGTCAATTTCCATTTTCTAACCATCTCGCGAATGTGGGGTTTGCCGCACCCAGACCACTGGGGACCACTTGTCTCTCTTAAAGCTTCTTAGCCTCTTAAACATTTTCTACATTAGATTTTGGTATGAAATCCTCACCAATTGCTGCCTTCATTCTGTTCCTGTGGCTGCTGGGATGTCTTTTTTCACACCCCTTCCAGAATGATCCAAAAACGGATTAACTTCGTAATTGAATTTAAACAGATTTCTGTTGAAGCAGTCCGCACAGGAATTGACATAACGGATTTCGTCCCATATGTTCCAGATAATTTAACATTACAGCTAGGTTTGAAAAAATTAGGGTACTTGAGCTGAATTTAACCAAATAGAAGCCGCTTATCGGTTATCGCCGTAGATACCGGCGTCGGTACCTTTCTACATCTTTAGACCAACCATTATCTGCCTTTGGTAGCCCTTAGTCCTGTTCTTTTCTGGTAGGAAATTGTATAGGCATCCTTATAATTAGGTCTTTAACCGGTGTAATGTAAACTGTACTGGCTTCGGGTTCTCTTCGATGTAAACTTAACGTCAAACCCTTTGAGTTTTCAAATGCGGGCATACATGGGGCGGTAGAAATACTAACAAGCCCACTGCATTTATGACCAATAGGTTAAGCATGTCCTACGTTATGAACTGCCCTTCAAAGAAACCTCTACCAAACTCTAGAATCATTTCTCGGAAACTCTGACAATTTCGTTGCCATCCCGTTGGTTATCAAAAAGGCATAAGTATATTAATAGAACGTAGATCTATCCTGATCAACATAATGAGTTCTTATAGTATCCAGGTAAAAAAATTAAAAAAAATTAGCTTATATAAATTATGTAGGACCGTCTTAAGTCCACCTATAAGTTCAACATGGAACTCGATTAATGCAAATCGCCGACTCCTCAATAATTCATTTCTCTATTTTCAGGCGATGATGATGATGGCAATGGCGAAGGTGGTGAGGATGATGAGCCACAGTCACCCTCTTGCTTCGATTACATTTTGCATTTCCTAACAATCTTCTGGAAACTTATTTTCGCATTCATACCCCCAACAGGTAAGTCACAAAAACAATCCCCAATCGTTTTTCGAATTACACTGTATGTGTGTTAGTATTTAATTGTGCTTAATTGGATTTCTTCTTTTGTTTCACAATTTTAACGCCGAAAATATCTAGATATTGCCAACGGTTATCTATGCTTTGTTGTTTCGATATGTGGTATCGGTATGGTGACAGCACTAATTGGTGATGTGGCATCGCATTTCGGTTGTACGCTCGGCGTTAAGGATGCGGTTACAGCGATTTGTTTTGTGGCGCTCGGCACCAGTTTGCCCGGTAAATATATTATTGCTCGTTCAGCGCAATACACATGCTTACGTACTTAATTGCGGAAATAAATATGTGCAAAATATGAATATTAAATTTCAGATACGTTCGCCAGCAAAGTGGCTGCCATACAAGACAAGACCGCCGATGCGAGTATCGGCAATGTGACGGGTAGTAATGCAGTGAATGTCTTCCTAGGTATTGGCGTGGCGTGGACCATGGCAGCCATATACCATGAATCGCATGGACGCGCCTTTAGAGTGGAGGCGGGCACGTAAGTACCTAGCTAAGTAAAGAAAAAAGATTTTATATGTACATACATATGTTCATATATGTATGCACCCACGTACTAATTACACTGTGGGGAAAATCTCAAGCTTTTAAATGACACAAGAAACACCAAAACACGTATGTATCTGTAATCGTTTTTCTAGCTTAGGTAATTTTCCCAAGATATTTTAATTTATATGAAAAACTAAATTATAACAGAAAAAATAAATAAAAAAAAAGGTTTTGTAAAATTTTCCATTTGTATTAAAACCTGTTCTTTACCTGCAAACCATTTTTTCAGAGTAAATATTCTGAATTGTAGAGAAATTTTAAAGAATTCATAAAGATCTCATGCGATTTTTGGCTAATTCTTGATTTGATACTTAAGTTTTAAAATTTTATTGTTTTGCTTTTCTTTTCAGTTCATTTGTATTATATTTTTTTAAACCGGGTTAATTTTTTTGGTAAAAAGCTGTAGGTCAATCAAAGGTAGCGTATTTTTTTTTATTCCAGTAGTTGGTAAAAAATTAAATTGATAAAAAAAAATTCAATTTTTTATAACAGAAGAATCGAAATTTTACAAACTGACCACTTTATTTTGTTGCCCAATAAGTTCTCTAATTGCTGTCATAAAATGATAAGATTCGAAAAAGTGGTTGCTGAAATATTTCAAAAAGTGTGAAAGCTATAGATAAAATCGGTCAATGAAATATAGGAAATCGAAAAGTCAACTTTGGGTGGCCCACTTGAGAAAACTTGCCTCAAATAAAAAAGTGTTGAATAGTCAAATGAAAATGTGTAATATTTTTTTTTTTATGAAATATGAGCAGGAAAGAATGTCACTCATACGCCATGTACGACCATGTTAAAAAAAATGTCCTCTTAAAGGTAGATTTTTTTTTCATTGACAAAACAAACTTAAAACTAAAATACATACTCATGTAATGAAAATAACCTCACCTAGAAAAACGGTGTACAGATCCGTAATCTACGGTTCAAAATTAAGTTTACGTGTCTCGGCGTTTTTTAGTGTCATTTTAGCGCCCCTACAGTGTAATTTTTAGCGATGAAAGCGTGAAATGCTTTATTAAACTAATTTATTTCATTTAATTTTATTACGAGAGGCTAATTAAAGATATAATTTTAAACCAGGATAGTTGTTATAACTTACCACCCAGTTTAGTGTATTGATCCACTCTAAAAACCGCCGTAAAACGACAAATGACTTCTGGTGAAAAAATTAATTGCGGAGCTCAAGTCTATTGTGCCCTCGAAACTAACCACAAGACCTCGCCTAGCCCTATAACCCCAATAAAATCCAGCAGTTTGAGAAGTGGTAGCGGCTGAATATAGGTATACTCTGGTCTCAGCCACCCAAATTTTTTTTTCTTATTATTTCTTTCTGCCATCGTATAGCAGTAACGACAGGTGTCCCTAGGGCGCTTATGCAGACTCGTGGCCTATAATGAAACGTCAATACAACTGCTATGTTTCTTAAGCTTGTCTTTGGGAAAATGATTAGCTTCCTAAATCTTTTTGAGTAATAACTTCCTATAAACCTTCGGGCTGCTCTAGCCCGTGTGAGTTCTCCCAGTGGGTTATTCCAAGCAGCCCTCATAGTAAGGAGGCATTCCAGGGCCCAATAAGCCGAACAGCTGATTTTATTACACATGAAGATATGACTTTTAAAGTAGCCTGACTGTTCCTGCAAATGAAAATGTGTTGACATTTTACATACCGCTGCAGATTTACGCCTGCACATGACCTGGTGGCATGGTTTGGTGATCATGGTTTTAAAACTATAAACCTTCGTAAGTTTTTAATAGGGCTGGGTAGCCCATTGAATTTTAGCGAGGTAGCTCAATGACTCAAGCTCCTTCTAATGATTCAGCTCAGCGAGGTGGCACAATTGAGCTATGACACTCTGCTGTCGAGGCAACACAGCCTAGAGTTGTTGGTTAACACTGTTAGTTAGTACTGTTTAGCTGATGAGTGCTGCAGAGCTGATTTACACTATAGACCTGTTAAAAGGAATAGAGTAGGTATGTGCTGTAGAGCTTAGAAGCTCTGTAGAGCTGGGCCCTTTCTCTGTAGTTCGAATCGAAAAGAAGTTCTATTTGAACGCCTAACTCTTTTTTGGTACCAATCGTTTGAGTTCGAACAAAATAACTATCGATTCGAACTAAAAATTCTGAAATTTAACGAAAACGTTGTTTCATAACAGTTATTAAACGAGAAATATTTTTTCCGTTGCCGATAAGAGTTATTTCGCGACGTTTATTTTTTACGTTGCTTGATAACAGTTATTGCCCGATGTTTATTTTTACGTTGTCGAATAAGAGTTATTTCACTTTCTCAATTTTATTTCGTCATCTTTATCTTGTTCCCCATCTCCACCTTCATCAATATCCTAATATTACAACGTTTACCAGACAACGTAAAAAATAAACGTTGCAAAATAACTCTTATCAAGCAGCGTAAAAAATAAACGTTGGGAATAAAACTGAATTGAATACTTTAAGTAAGATCTGAAATAACTCCAATTCTGTTTACAGCTTGGCTTTCTCCGTGACACTTTTCCTATCGGGAGCCGTGATTGCCATGTTCCTGATAATGTATCGACGTAAGAAGTCAATAGGTGGTGAACTGGGCGGACCATCACCACAAAAATACATACATAGCGCCATTTTCTTCAGTCTGTGGTTGGTCTACTTAATAATGAGCACTTTGGAAGCATACGGAGTCATCCAAGGATTCTAAGGAGCACAAACAACAACAACAGTCAGATGACGCTGATGACTACATACTACATTACTTGCATATATACTTACTTTCCTTTAAATAAAAGCAAAACCAAAACCCCACAAACTGCATACAGACATACATAGATACATAAATACATATATACTTAGTTAGAAAAGCATGCAAAACATCCTACATAAACAAAAAATATAAATTAACATAAACAAAAAATTAATAAAAAAAAATTGCTCGTATTTCATAGAAAGAGCAAAAGAACCGTTTCAAAGAATGAAAAAAGTGCAAAAAGGTTTTGAAATATCTCAAAAAGAAGAATAAATTTAGAGAAATCAATAGCTAAATTAAATGAACGATTAGCACACTCTTAAGGCTTGTTTTCACTATGTCAAATTCAATGGCATTTATCGTTAAATATGTAAATGAAAGCACATTGTCAAATGGGATTAACAAGACCGTATATCGATTGATTTAGATATTGAAAGGTTGTGCCAAGTCGGCTATATGTACGTTTTTGGTCCATAATATACACGGCTAACGTATAGATGAAAGAGATAAAGTTGTGTCAAAATATGTCGACAAAATTTTGGCATAGTGAAAACCATTCTTTACATACATTCGAGTCTATACTTACCTATATACATGCATACAAGCTGCGCAGCTAAGTAATCGAATTGTTGATGTCTCAGCTAATTAAATTTGATGTTATGCCTATAAGAGACTTTTTTGAAGATTTGTACGCTACCGTAAATTGGTAAGTGTACTCGTACTTTAAATGGGTACCCACAATTGTTTTGAAACCGGATTTCTCCTATGCTAACCAAAGTAATTGATTAACTTTATTAGTAGTAAATTTCCCAGATGAACAAAAATAATTTCTAAAACCACTATTTTTTTTTTTAATTAACAATAATTCGCAACTGCACACACTGCATGTTTGGAGTTCCAAGAAATCTGGCCCTTAATACAACCCAGAACCCCAGAAGTATCAAGAGCCGACTCGTTCGAGGCTACCTATGCCATATCTGGCAAGTGCTGAGAAATTCTTAATATACATAACTCCGAAGTAGAAAGAGGCCCGTTCCGGGCTAACTCCTCAGTCATCTTGTTGTCATGAATGCTGCGAACCCCCGTCGCCATAACAATGCAACGCTGTGTCTATAGGCTAAAGCTGTAACCACAAAACACCGGAAGACAATCTCTACTAGGTTGTCACAGAGCCAAGGACCTTTATAGCCAACGGGATGATCGAATAAAAGTGATATTTAATCTCAGACGATATATGGTAAAGACATGCTTCGCCGACAGCGAGACGCATTCAACAAAATCTATGGCTTCCAATATTTCTACCAAGGTAATTTAATGGCGAATTTGATATCAAAATACATAAACGGAATATTAAAGGAGTATAAAATGCGCTTATGTTTACAAAGAAGCTCTCTCCCAGTTCGCTTAGGTTCAGAGTAGGGCTGTCAGTGGCAAAATTACATCGACGTATTTCTCTAATTCGATACATCGAAGGGCATACATCGATTTGCATAGAATTTTTCAGATATTACTTCACAACAAAATATGTTATTAGCAAAATTGTACAAAATTTCACATTAATAACGGCAACTGAGTTAATTATGTTTCTAACGGAACTTTTTGGAGTCATTTCAATCATTTAGACAAACTCACTTCTCTTTTTGTACAACTAACAAACCGAAATGACGGTTCAATATACTAGAGATGTGAGTTTTCAAAAAACATCGATTCATCGCCTATTTGTACATCGAGTGGAAAGTTTTCGATGCATCGAAGCAAAAAATCTATATTTTCGATATATCGATGTTTTTCCGACATCCCTTCTTCAGAGCACTCAGTGAAGTAATTTTAATAATACGGCAGACCACTGCCGCCTATATCTAGGACCAGAACATATTCCCATGCTGTTAAATAATTGTGTACACTTTTTTGTGCCAATTTATTTTTAAAGACTTTCTGGCAGAACGATCTTTACTTGAAAAATCAACACTGAGGCTGGACGGAGTTAGGACTTTATCTGCACAATATTGCGCCGAATATTCAATTAACTTTTAAAATTTCAATCATCATAATGATTTTACTCTTTGGAGTATAAAATTTCTTCATGTTCGAGGATTAAAATTAGCATTGCAAAAAAAAAAAAAGGTTTTTATTGGATCAGCCGCCAGCTGAACAAGGCTGTTATTGAAATTACTTAGCTGAGATTTTCAACTTTCACAAATCAATAGTGTAACTAATCTAAACACAAATAAAAACTAAACAAAAATCTGGTAACAATTTTCTCCAAGTAGAATTTCATCTTAAAATTCTCTTAACACAAACAAAGGGCAAATTAACTCACTAAAGCTAGAGGCTACGTATGCATCATAATTAGACTTAAAACTCATACTATGCAAGTAAATACATATATTTAATAGACACAAGTGAGCCAAACTTAAAAAAACAAAAATGAATAATGAAAAAATGAAATAAAATTTGCACCTTGCGCAGAGATGTCAAACACATAGTTACAATAGGCAACAGAACGAATGTTAACAGAAAAAGCAACAAAATAGTTAAAGTCATTACTAGCAGAAAAAAAAAAGATAGAAAAATTAGAAATACAAAAAGAAAGCAAACAATTGAACAACAAAATAACAAAAACAATCATATATAAACTTTGGCTAAAGATCCAGGCAACATTTGAAGCAACACTTGCATACATACTTACAAGCATAGAAGCATACTTACATACATACAAGCATTAATGCATACAAACATAAATACGTACATATGCAGGCATAGATAAAATGTAGATTTAAAAGCAAACTTAAAAAAAAAATGAGCAATAGCAAGCGAGCGAGCATCAAAGCGAGCAATATGTAGCAAGGATATTAAGGACATTTTAAGCAGTAAGCTACCACAGTTACACAGAAGTACTTTAAACGCAAACAAAACAACAACAAGTATAATAATAACAATAACAAACGAAGCAAAGCATGCAATAAACTTGTATTACTAAATTTAATTTATTTTTATATATATAATGTAATAATAATGAAATTTGTAATGCATACATACTTAATAATAATAATAAATAATAATAATGCAACTAAGTTATGCCATTAAAGAGATTAAACCAAAGGAAAATCAGAAAACAAAAAAAAAAACAAGCAGAGTGGTACAGGCAGATGATATTTGAAAAGCGTTAGCAAATTTTTAGAGAAATTTTATTGTTATTGTATTATTCTTATATTGTAAATGTAACGTGTATGTATGTAATGTTAATTTTAAATATACATATATAAAACGAAAAATAGGAAAAATGGAAAGATCTTAAAGAAGAAGAAGAAGAAGCATTATGCGAATTCATTTAGCCGAATTGGCAACGATATTATGAGTGCAATTTTTAAATGCAAATGTTGTTGTTGTAAAGATGCCACAAGATGCCGTTTACGTACAGGGCCTTCCATAATTAAATGATTTTTAATGTAATCATTATAAATTTAAGTATTAATTGTTAATGTTAGAAATGCTTAAGCGCTTTTGAGTTTTATGTAAAAAGATAGACAAATTTATTTTCGGTTTTGTACATTATAAACTTTTAATTGGGTAACAATTTATGTTTTCTTTTATGTACATACATAAATATTTAATTTATTAGCTAAAAAGTTCAACAAAAGCTCTCTTTTAAAAGGCTTTGTAAACTTCTAATGGAGACGCCTTTAACGCATATTTGAATGAGTGAACAGAGGGCGCTAAGAAAAGTTAGAAGAGAAAGAGCAACGCCAGGGAAACTTTTTCACGCTTTTTATGAATTTTATACATATAAGCGCGCTCAGAGTAAAAACTCTCTCTGCTCATCGCGGTTTTACACAGTGTTGCCGAATTGATTGGCGTTTTTTTTTCAGCTCAATGACGTTTTGACCCTTTGTCTGCCGGAAGTGATTTTTTTATTTTAACTTGTTTACTTAATTACATATATACATATGCATGAAGAAAATTTCTTAAAGGAAAACGTAATACAAAATACAACCATGCATTTATCTAGTTTCGTTCAACAACCGTGCTTTTAGTTGTCTAGAATTGTAGCCAAATCGTAAATTTGCACTGCTGACACTCATTTGAAAGAGACAGAAAAATTTAAAATTCAGACGCATGCATTTTTATGGGACATTACAGGCGGCGTAGTGTTAATCAGCTGAAAATAGAATCCAAAAAAAAATAGTTTTCCATTTGGCCTAAGTTGACGTGTGGAGTAATCATTGCCGTTTTCTTACGTTGAGTTAAGTCTAGACAAACTGAGCTTTGACTCTGAGAAGCTCGCCTGTGAAGGAATTTGAATGCGTTCAGAAGAGTAGCCGGTAACTCGATTTCTGCACTAAATATTTAAAAGATTTTAGTCCTTCATAGCGAAATGATAACCAAAGATCCCGACCTGCCTATCATCGCCTTCAATATTCCAATACTTATGTGCTACATTTCCCCAGTCATTAATTAAAAGCCTCCAAGGAGACCAACTCACACCAAAAATCAGTTTCGGTTACACAAGGGGTTGAAGATACTTCTCTAATTCGCTGGCTGGAGACTTTTTTGCTCTTAATGCCGTAGTTTCTGATACCCAATACCGTGTTACAATGTTTACCACATTTGAGAGCTAGAGATAACTCCTGGACAAGCTTGGAAGAACATCTTACTGGAAAAGGCCGGATTGACGACTTGACTACAACATTTTCAAGGTTTGCTCTGGCGCAGGTCTATACTGCTAACATCTCAGCCTGACACACAAAGGGTCACCTATTTTCCGAATTGTAAAGAAAGCCGAAAAAGCTACATATGTACGCTGACAAGGCGCTGTTCTTCACCGTTATACACAGATAAGACAAGCGTCAAATATCCAACTCCTACCGCGTACACGCTACAGGGCATAACAGACCGGTCTGTTGGTATGTTCGATCATCGTTATTTCGGTCCATCTGTGATCATTTTGACGAGCCCCTCGGTCGGTAGAAAGAGAGGTGGCTACGCAGTGCTTCGTATTAAAGCAAAATCACTCCTACTACAGCTATTTCTGCTCTTTGCTGTTTTAAAGCAACACTTTTTTTAGAGCTACATATACATTCACTCAGGTTTGGTTTTGTAATATTGTCATCAATATTCGAAGTCTGAACGATACAGCTTTTTCAGAGCTCATCCTACATCAGCGACGACCAGAGAGGGATTTTATCTTGTACGCGTGTAAATAGTTATATAAATTGTAAAAAGCTTCTCCTGCTCGATATCTTTTGGTGAGAATTGCCACATTTAAAACTGCGCTACTTTCAAAAACTGAGCTTAAAGCTTTCTCAGGAGCTTTGAAGCATATGAAATCTTTTTTTAGTTTTGAATTTTGATTACCTCTTCTTATGTATAATCTTTGTATAGCCATTAAGTAAACCAGTCTTGTTAAATTGTTTGTTTCAAACTGTATGTGTTAGTTACGAATTTTATAATAAATATATTTAAAAAAAATCTAAGAAATGCTTTCTTCTTGAGATTAATGTATAAGCAAACTTGCCGACATTGATTTTAACTACAAAACTTGATCATGAAAACAGCAAACTTAACAAATAAAAGCCACTACAAAATACTACTAACTATACTTCAGAAAAAAACTAAATTAAAAAAAAAACTGGTATAAAATATATATGCATGAATCAATAATTTTAAAACAAACTAAAAACTAAATTATTTTAATATATATGCATATGTAAATATGTACCCAATCATTTTAGACACATTTTTTGAATGGCAAAAGTGCAGTTTTTTATGTTTTTTTTTTGTATACTTTGTTGAAAAGTAATTGTAGAACAGTATACAGTAGAAAAGCATCGAACACTTGTAATTTCTGAATTTCCTGTTGATTAAAATTTCCTGTTGATTAAAATTTGTATAACTTTTTTCCTTTTTTGTTTTGTTTTTTTCTTATTGTTTGTTATTTCGTAAAAACATACAATATTGACATTATGAATCAATCATCGCTTTGCAAAACAATATCAAACCCAAATACGATACCAATCATACATACAGACATGTGTATTTTACCACAAAATTCAAGCGTTTTCATTTTTTCATTTTTCTTTCGCAACCCTCGTTCCAAGTCGAATTAGTTATATATGTAAATATATATTGTATTTTATACGTCTGTAAGTGAAATGCTAATAATTTAATTCGTTTTCTATAAGACTTGTTATCAATACTTATTAATAATAAAAAAAAACTCAATTCATTAATATGAAAATAACCTTAACGCCAAATACAAAGATCATTTAGTAAATTAATAACTGTTACATAGGTAAATTACAAGAGTACATATAAACGACATCACTGATTTGTGTTAATTGTGTTGTATGTACATATATTAGACTGCATCACTCCCCATACAAAAAAAAAAAAATAAAAAATCGGTACTGTTTTTCCACTAAAATTATAAAATCTATTATATTTTAAGACTTTTCCCAAAATATTTTGGAAAAATATTTAGATTTACGTGAGCTGGATAGATTTGAAAATACCTCCAAAAATTGAGTTTTTTATTGATAAAAACAGTTTTTTGAAAAAGATCACCTCAGCTGACAAAACAGTTGAATCTTAAAAATTAATTAGCATAAAAATATTTCAAAAATTGTTCAACGCAAGCATAATAATGGGTTTTTGTTGCTGTTTTGCACTTTTTTCAAAAACTGGTTTAAGAAAAACTTGAATAACTCAGCCAAAACTTCAGCGATATAGGTTTATGAGGTATCATTGGTAAGGTATTTTCTTACTCTTTTTATTTCTTTACAAATAAGCTCATTCATGAAAGATAAAGGTAAAATAAACGAGCGTCACTCCATGTTGTATTAAGATGCTTTGTATTTGATAAAGAAAAAATTGTGATTTTGCAAAGAAATAAAAAGGGTGAGAAAATACGTTTCCACTGACACCGCCACAAGTCTATATCGGTAAAGTTTTAGAGCAGTTATTCAAGGTTTTCGTAGACAAATCTTTGAAAAAATCTGAAAAAAACGTCAAAAATCTCCTTAATATTATTCCGTTGAAAAAAAATAATTAACAATTTTATATAGATTTCTTTAGCTTAAACTGTTTGGTCATCTAAGGAGATTTTTCCAAAAAATACTTAAAGAAACTGTTTTTAGTCATAAAAAAACTTAATTTTCGAAGGCATTTTCAAACCAGTCCAGCTCACCTAAACCTTAAATTTGTCCGATATATTTTGGTGAACGTCTTAAAATATAATAAATTTTGCAATCCCGACGGAAAAACCACAACTTTTTTTGTGATGCAGTCTAATGTATATAAATATGTATGTACATCGTCGTCATTACTGCAAAAAATCCCAAACAAATTTTTAGATACTAGTTTCCTTAAATATTGCGGTAATTTTCTTCTCGAATACATACCAGCAAGAATCAGTTTCTTGAATAATCTATAGCCCTGAAATAATTTCCAATGATACATTAAAATTGTTTACAACATTTTTGCCGAGTTTCAGTTGGATATTGCCATTTAGCGCGTTTCGCAATAGTTACGACGATATACTACATATGTCCATACATACATACATACATACATACCTACATACATGTATGCCTATTAAATAGTTACTATTTGTCTTCAACTTGTAAGATGACACATTATTGTGAAACTCTAGTTTAAATTTCGTATACATATGTATTTCCCATATAAAAGTTTTTGTTGAAAATAAATCATGTGTTAAGTTGTTTTCGTCTATGCCGATTTGAATAAAATTTTAAACATTTCAAAGAAAGAGGGATTTGTTTAATTTAGGGAGTGAATCAGCAGCTGTTAGAAATTCAAAAATACGCACATGCATACATACTAAATGCCTTATTTTTTTATTAGTATTTCAGATCCTCACTACGGCAGCAGAATATGAAAATGGAATGCTTAACATTTAAAAACATGTACATATGTATGTATGTCATTAACGAACTTAGAGACTAGTTTGAAAAAAAAAACGCTTTTCCAGGTGTTGCTGTGGGAGTCGCTTTTCACTCCTGTGCTAATTTTACGATGATATTGTTACTAGATGTCTATCACAGGTATAGGAATAGAATAGAGTTGAATTACAGGTTACGTCAGCAAACTCCACTTTAGTCAGAAGCCGTTGCAATTTCTTTCTGAATTAATAAAATGATAAATGACTTATGGATTTGATTTTAATTTGCACTCACATTCATATAAAACCAATTTAATACTCAATATTTTTCAGCGTAGCTATTGACTATCAAAAATATTTATTTAATTAAACATTTTAGTCAAATAAAAATTATAAAATTTATTCTATAAAACAAGTGACGTTCAAGAAATCACAAAAGAGAAGATATATAAAGCAATCGTTTATGGGTGAGTTAAGACGAATGAGCTCGCGGTTTTAATAACAACAAACATAACAATAATGCAGCAATCTTATCAGCCGAGAAACTGATGTGTGTATATTTAAGTATTATGAATGCAAACATTTTGATTATGTGTGCGGTATGCAAACCCAGCTGGAAAAGTGTAGTGCATTGCCTATTTTGACTCAAACTCAATTTCAGATCGGTAGTTTATTTCTCCAGACAGTTAAAAAAAAAAAGAGTGTATAAACACCTCTCACACTCAAACCGAATTGGAGATCAGCATTTTCTCACATGTTTTCTTTTTTCATCGTATTAATTCGAAATATTCGCATCTATCTATAAATCGTCACTAAACACAAATAAAGCCGCGCCATTGTTTTGACGGCGAAAAGGGGCGCATTGATGAAATAAGACGCGTGAAAAACACTTCGGCGAAAAAAGACGCTCAAACCTAGTTGACGGCGAATAAAGACGCGTAAGCATAGATTTATACCTAGCCAAGGACTACCACTGCCCGCAAGCATAGTTGACCACGAAAATAAGTTTACGCGTCTTTCTTCACACCCAAATAGCGTAACACATCTTTATTTGCTATGTTTCAAAAAGTAGGAATGTGAAAATNGAAGGAGAGTTAATAAGGATTAATCTTGAAAATACTTTTGAAGAGGGCTGTCACCTGTTTCAAAGGTTTTACTCAATTAACTAAAACAAAAAGTGTATGAAACAAAAAAATACCGTAGTCATATAAAAGAATGTTATGAAACCTGTGTAATGTTTGAAGGGGGTTGTTACGTCTTTAAAAAGTTACGCTCAAATTATTCAACAAGTTGGATTAATTATTAAAAAATGGGTTTGAAAAGGCCTTATTCCTGACCTTTATCTAGGAGGGTTACCATTTGTTCAAACAATCTGATTCAAATCCGTTCATCACTTTATTGAAATATATGCGTATCACAATTTGAGATGAAAGAGATTTAAGAAGATTTAAGTTTGAGAATATTTTTGAAGAGGAATTTCAAAAATGAGAGTTCAAATTAAAGGCCTTGGTATGTAGATGTGTGATAAAGTTTATTTTTTTTATGATGAAAATGTTTTTGCGTCAAAAAGTGCGATAGCGATTCGAAAATTGTATATGGTGTCAAGGAGTTTTATCGACTATAAAGGCGATGCATTACCAATAATTTCTTTTTCTTACTGGGCGTTCACTAAATGATACAAATAAAAATAGGCAATAAATGTAGGTCTGAAAATTGTCTTGTTTCTCATGCGTTTATGATTTCCCTGCAAAAAATTGTGCAACTAATTTTTAAATAGAGTATTCCGGTATTCCGAGGTTACTCTCAATCGGGTACAATTGGTCATTAATTAATCGCAACTAGTCTCATACTGGTACTAATGCGGATCAATTAGTCTCGACTCATTCCATACGGGTATAATTGGAGTTCAATTAGTCCCCGACTCAACTCTAACGGGTACTACCAATATTTAATGATATGTACGCACTTAGTCAATGAATTTCATGTGCGGCGTTGGCACATAGGAGAGTATTCGCTTAACAAACCTCAGCACCCTGGTTCGAATGGTGGCTGGCGCAAATTTTTATTTAATTTTTTTTTAAGTGAACAATTAGTCTCTTCATGGGACATGCTCGAACAAAAGCGAACAGTTCATTCCATATAAAGAGATCAAAAGTGGTATTAGTCGGATGTTCCTTTGCGATTGCTCCCGGAGTCATCCCGGATTAGTCGTATTTTTTGCAGGGTTATTCTATGTATAATGAATACATATTCATATGTACACTAGAGAGTACCACCTTAGTGGCAAAAAAAAGTTCGCCATCTAAAATAGTTTTGCAAGGCAATTTGGAAAAAACATCTGTTTTGGCCGAGTATTTTTCCATTTTTCGGTAACACCTACATTCGTCAAAAACATTCTTTAATTCGTTTTACTGGAATAAATAATCGAAATAACTACTTCTTTAGTAAAAGTTTAATGATTTTTTAAACTTCATATTACTGACATTAAGGTGGTAGGTTCGGGTGATAAGAACTGAGGATCTACTGGCTATGTACTAAAATGGGGTACTTGAGCTCAATGAACTTTGAAACAAGAAAAATTGTATCTTTAAGGAAAAAAAATTACTTTAAGATCCGAATTGAGGTCAATGAAATTGGAAACCGAAAAAAATTATATTACAGAAAAAAAGTATATACTTTAAGCTCCGACTGTTAATGGGGAAAGCGAACCCATCGTGCGGGGAAAAAATCAAAATTGCCTTTGAATCGAAAACTTCCTTAACTAAAGTGCAATGTTTTTTGATGAGCTTTATTTTACAGACGTTAGGGTGGTACGAACTGAGATCTGGTGGGTAAATACTAGAACGGTGTACTTGAGGTCAATGAACTTTGGAGCAAAAACAACTATCTTCTCAAGACATGGCATGCTTCCGACATACATCCGACTGTAAATGCCGAAAATATGCAGAAAAAGGTTAAAAGGCGGCCCTATGTTCGGCCAAAAAAAATTGCTTTCGAAATCGCCTCGCAAAAATACTTTAGATTGAATGGTGTGCGGCCAACTTTTTTTTCTGGTACGGTCTAATGTATACACGCAGTTAGAATAAATAACTAAATGAAAATATTGTTTGCAGGAATAAAAATAACACCAAAATAATTATTTCCAACAACTACATTAAGTGTTAGGGATCAACCGAATTTCTGGCAGTGGGCTTATCCGGCTGGAATATCTGAAATGTCATCACTTTACGAAATTACTAGAAGTACTGTACAAGTGTACACATACCGACGTACATACGTTTGTGGTAAATATGTTTTATAGAGATACACTTTTGGTCAGCTGATTAAGTTAATTGACATTTTTAATTATAGTGATGTTAATCAATTTTTTTTTTTTNTAAATGGTAGTTTCAGTAGTAGTATTTCAACTAAATAAAATTTTTCGTACTATAATTCCCGAAATTGTTCTCAAATTTGCGAAAATTCGCAAAGTATGGCTAATATGGAAAACGGAAATATGAATGCTGTTCTTTGCATCTTTTGACTAAAGACCATTGCAATAATCAAAATAACAATTACAATTTGGTTGAAAAGGGCTGCCAGAGATGTTATTTGACTTTGACATTTGCGTTTACAGATTTATTATCTTGGGCTCTTGCAATTAAGATAAACGAGATTAATATTTGACATGCTTATTGTTGACCTCATGATAAAAGATATTTTCACTATAACCAAAGTATTTGAGAAAAAATTAATTTCTTTCGACCAGCCCTAATGCACATGTATGTGTATGCAAATATGTATAGACTATAATTTATATTGCGTCGTAGTGTCTTGGAATTCTGCAAATGATATAAACAGTGTCAGCTGAGTCGTTGTGAAGAAGCCAACGAGCCCGATTAGACCTTTTACTACAAAAATAGGCTAAAAACATAAACGAACAATCTTAAAACGATAATAAATTGTTCCAAATAAACAAAAAAAATGCCGATAGATAAAAACTTGAAGTGCTAATCAATAAATTTGAATATTAACTTTCATTAATATGTCCTTACTAACAACCGAGAATACTGCACTCCTGAGCAATGACAACTCCAAATCCAACGGTTACTACAACGGACATTTCACACAGCAACCAAAGCAACAAAATGGGTATTCTCACTACATCGACGTTTTGGATAAACCTTTATATAATGGTTATACGCCTGTACTTGCGGAACTAGAGTAAGATATAATACATATTATATTATGCCTATGTAAGTATATCCATATTCTATATAATACAGTGCGTTAAAAGCTCATACTACCATAAAGTTTTTATGCGAACACTTTCTTCTTAGTGGCTCAAAAATTTCAAAGTTTTGGCGTGACCGATCCTTATACAGATTTATACCACATTACAAAATAAAATTTTCAAATTATTATCCCCATCGAATAGAAATTGTTATAGTAAGAGATTTTTTGATGATGGAGCTTGATGATTAGTGCTGCACTGATTTTAGCAAAGTTATGGTGTCCGCTGCACCCCAAGCCTACTAAACTATTTCATTAGTGGTATTCACCAAAGTGAGCAAGTGGCCTGGCAGTCTGGTGAATACCACTATTGTTTCAGACATTAATAATATTTTCTATCTGTCCATGATGTGAGTTTTCGTTTATTTTTATATAGATCTTTCGGTATATTGCACTTTTTCGGAGCAAAACAGTATTGACTGGAACCAGCGTTGCCGTTTTGATACAATTGTATCACTTTTGATACTTTCTTTCTAAATTGTAAGATTTGATACTTTGATACTTTTTTCACAAATGCCCCATTTTGATACTTTTGGTTGGCAGAAATGAATTTTTGAAAACTAATATTACTAGTTTGAAGGCAAATAATTTTGTTCTTGTTATTTAAAGTCTTATGGCCTTATTTATAAAAAATAAAGGTTTATAAACTTAAAATGTATGCTTAATGAAATGTATGTCATTTTATAAAGCTTTTTAAACGTACTTTATTTCTTATGAATAAGGCCATTACAATTTTATATGTATGTAGATATTTATAAGTTTGATTTGGGGTTGCGTCGGTAGTTTGTGTGGTGTATGGGGCTGTTCATACTAAATTTCACAGTTATTGTACTAAAATCAAAATCATGTTACATTTATTTCTCTTGCCTGTGTTATTGTTAAAATAATTTATGTTGCGTATGACGGCAACTGCGCAATTTTTAGTCAACTTTTGATTTTGATGTCCAGATCGCGCTGTCAAATATGGATAAAACAATTAATTATATTTATAAATATTTTTTTTTTTGCGTGGTACCACCTCTCCATCATTGTATTGGAGAATGTATCAGACTAGGCCGAGCATACATTGAAGTCGAATTATAACTTAAGTAATTTTGTTTATATGACAATTGAGAAGAGCATAGGCAATAATGCTATACATTTCATAAACGAAATTTTTGCACATGCGGCTGTAGATTGCATGCATTTAGGCGATAGGTATCATATCCTTTGCACTTAAAGACGGCTTCTGTTGGCGACCTTGAAAAGAATTTTGACTGCGT